GTTAATTTTATCAATCACAATGACTGCTATGACATATTGCATCATTGTTAATTAACTGTAACTGGATGTAACCATTCAAATGAAAGTAATGATTTTAACACTATAAAAAGCTTTTATAGCCCCGCCCTCTTTCAGGTCTTTACTTCCTGACCTCCAGTACTGAATCTGTCAATAAATCAATGTATTCTTCAATGTAATTGGTCTCTGGTTTTAAAGCCCTTTTAAGGGAAATATTTCTCTTTTGGCATACACAAAAAAACAAGCACTAATCTCCATTGGAACCAAGCTGAATCCTTCTATTATCTTCCCTTGCCTGAACAAGGGTCTGAGATGTTACACTGATGCTCAGAAAAATTCACCACTGTTTCATATCTTCCATGGAAACAAACTGATATCAGGTATACATTCAGCTGGGAACCACAACAAAGCTAAGTTCCCTGGAAAGTATACTTCTATTCTTAATCACATATTTCTTACATTCCCACATAATACCGGAGGAGAGTTTTAAAGCATGTTCGTATTTACTCTGTTATATATAAAGTATATGAGCATACAAGGCAAAACAAGCAAACAGGCACCTCTATTGGGCAGCAATGTTATAGGAAGATGCTACAGGTGGATGATCACTTTAGGAATAATGGCAAACACATCATTTTATAATGTGCAGGAGAACACAATGGTAAACCACTTCTGTATTTTACCAAGAAAACCACATGGACAGACAAAACAAAGTGATTGACAATATAGTGCCAGATGATGGACCCCTCAGGTTGGATGGCACCCAACATGCTACTGAAGAAGACCTGAGGATTTTTCAGAGTACTAATGGTGTTTATGACATGGCTAGATTAAAGCCTTTGAGATGAAGGAAAAGAAAATCCAAAGCTGCAAAAACAGAATTATAATGGGAGCACGGAGCATAAGAAGCATGAACGTGGAAAAACCCAACACAGGGAAGGATGAAATAAATCAACTATACTTTGATGTCTTAGGCATCACTGAACTGAAATGGATTGGAGTTAGACTCTTGCAGTTAAAAGGTCATATGGTTTACTATACAGGACACAAAAAACAGAGAAGGAATGGTGCTGCTTTCATAGTCAGGAAGGATACAGCAAGAACAATACTTGGCTACATTACAATAGGTGACCAAATAATATCAGTTAGACTTCATGGACAACCCTTTAATATGATGATCATCCAAGTTTATGCTCCAACCACTAGTGCAAAAGAAGAGGAAACAGATGAGTTTTATGGTCAAGTTCAATTTGAATTTAACAGAACATGCGAGTAAGATGTGCTGCTTGCAACTGGAGACTGGAATGCCAAAGCTGAAATATTAAGGAGGAAAATGTAGTTGGATTGTATGGCCTTAGAAATTAAATGAAACAGGAGTGTGACTTATCAACTTCTGCCAATCCAATTATTTCTTCATTGCTCACACAGTTTCCCAACAACTAGAACAGTGCCTATATACAGGGTCATCGCCAAACAGAGTACATAGAAATCAAACTGACTATATTATTGGTACATTGAACACCCACTGCCAGATTGCAACTCTTACTTTTAAATGTAAATCACTCTGGATTCTAACTTTCCAGGAGGAGGGAGAAATATCAAAAAGGATTATGGCAACCATGGAATTACTGGAAAAGTGAAGCTTCAGCCAAAAATAGACCTGGCCTAGACAGGCCCTAAAATCCCAAAGAATCAATCCAGTTTCTGAGCAAAGTGTTGCATTTAAAACACAGTGGGGTACATGGAATAGTGCTCTTAAGAATCTGGACTGTATTGTGTCTAAGGATTTTAGGGGTTTAGGCAGTATATACAACAATCTAAAGGCATTTTACTTTAAACACTCTTATGGCAGCAGGTACATTCTTGCCTCTTCTGGTATGAAAGAAGCCAAGTATAGCCTTAGCACAATTATCCAGCAGTGGGTGTTCAACATAGCTCTTCGGGTAGAGCAGGGTATATTAGTGCCCTGAAATTGGCAGTATATAAATCGGAGGCCGTTCACACCAGCAAATTTACTCAACATCACCTGTCCATCACACAGTAGAGCTTTTTTTTTTAGCCCATTTTAATGTTTTGCTCTCTGTAATATTGGAGGGAAGATCTAATAATATCCCTTTTGTAGAATGAATTTGTCACTTTGCCTTGGAGGAACCTGAAACCCTAGCCCATGTGTTTTTTCAATGCCCTTTTTACAATAACTTACTTTCCATCTTCATATTTTCCTTGTTCAATAGAAATATCTTTTTTCCTGAGGACAATCTTATTTGTCCCTTGCTGTCAGACCAGAACTCCAAACTATCAGAAGAGTCACAAAATTTATTTCAGTTGCCACTGAATACTCCTCCTCCTCTCTTAACATTTTTTCGGATTTTATTAAAGTATCATTTCATTATGTCATTTTAAGTCTTTTTACTGTGTCTAGGTTTTTATTTCTCCTGTTCTATGTTATTTGTCACTGACTGATATAGAATTTTATTTACATTCACATACATTTACATTTCACATAAAGTCACATAAATATATATCCAATATTTCATAGGCTTCAGTATTCTATGCTTAAAGTATTTTATTAATTTGTTACTTTATTTCTATTACCTAGATTCTCTTCTTGCACTCATTGTATTGTAGTACATTGCTATGCATTGTTATTGATGTTTTAGAAATGTTTTAGGTTTTAGATGTTTAATGTTTTTTCTGGACATTATGTTTTTTCCTCCTATGCCATGGCTTCTTGTGCTCTATTCTTCTTCTCCCCCCCCCCCCTTTTAAGAAGCTGACTGTTTAATTTGCTGGTCACTGTAATAAAGACTATCTGGCTGCCTGCCTGCCTGCCTGCCTGCCTGCCTGCCTGCCTGCCTGCCTGCCTG